ACTTTTATGTTAATCTATTTTTTTATTTTTATCATTTATGCAGATTGCAGATATCAGGGACAATATGCTGTGCTGTTAAGCCCACCCAGGAGTAAATAATAGAGGTTAAAGAAGAGAAACGATTAAATCTGAGATAAATGAACTCAAATTAAAAGTGATGAATGAAGGTCATGTAATAATGGAACAAAAAACAGAAATTAGAAGATCCATTATAATCTATTCATATCTTCATTTATTAACCTTTGAGTTATTTGTATAACTGCTATTCCTTTCCTTCAACATTAGAGGCAGGTTAAATGGTTCAGAGTGAGGAGCTCTGAGGCTTCAGCCCGTCCCAGTACCTCTGTGTCTCCTGGATGGGCGTCCTCTAACACAAAGTGGACACTGAGAGGGGAGCCCTCCACAGAAACGGGATGTTTGAGATGCTCCTGGACGAAGGCGCAGCAGGAATCCCAGCTGCTGAAATACACAAAGGCCTGAAGACGACATGGAAACAGTGGAGACGGTTAAACACAGAGTAACATTTAATAATCAGTGGAGGAGGATTAAATAAATGTTTCCGATGTGCGAATAAAACAAAGTGCAAAAAAAAAAAATTTAACTCCCGATTAACATTTGAGTAAAATTAGGACTTTCTATTTTTAAAAAATATGATTTTTTTTATCTGAATCTCAGCAGATAAAACTGGAAAAACTATATATATATTTATTCCACAACAAATTAGTCTCCCTAGAGCAGTTTGACCATGTGCATTTTGCACATCTCTGGTATTGCTGCTATTTTTTCACATATCCACTACTGTAAAAATGTCCACAACTGTTTATTAATTATTCTCCAGATGCACAGTATTTGTCTTTGTAAAAACAATAAAAAGTACAGTCATTTATTTGTTTATTTTCTTAACTCTGTCACCTATTCTTTTATTTTTATACACTTGTTTAAGGTCCACATTTGTGTGACCACTTCAGCTATAACCTTTCGCTGCTGTGACACCCCAATTTCCCCACTGAGGGAGCATAAAGGTTTTTTCTATTCTATTCTATTTAGGGTATTGTTGTAGTTGTTGTTGTTTTTTAGTATGCCGTATTGTTCCTCACCCTCCTCTGCAGCGGAAGGACGACCACATTGGAGACCAAAGACTCGTGGTCCTTGGGAGAGAAATAACAGCCCACCAGCTCATCGACTTGGATGCGTTTCCACACGGATACACAAAACCCAGTCAGCATAATGGTGGAGAATTTAGAGGCCTGAGGACGAGCTTTCTGCAGAGACGGGATTAAAAGAAAAACAGTTAATATATACCAACAAAGGGAGCACATATTATTGCATTTCAAACATTTTTAAATACTTTGGGGTTATAAACTACCACCCACTGAATAAATTGTTAAGATTAAATAACTTTTTATTACAGCAGCATAATCTAACACCAGAGAATTAAGCAGAAAAACAGACATTTAATATAAGAAACATTACACGCTAAGAAAAAAAAAGGTTTCTTTTGTTTTCTTAAACACCTGTGGCTCATTTATTGTCACTGGTCAAAGTGCTAATACTTTGGGCGGCCCTTTATCTTCTTTATTCTTAGACTGTCAGCATTGGCTTGAACTACTTGAACTCTTTAATAACAGGTAAGCTTATTTTTAAAGATCTTTACTGAGGGGAAAATAAATGTTCTTGGTACTTTTTTTCTGTATATTCTCTTAATTTTAAATCACTGTAAAGTCAAGCAGAACATTACCACGATGACTAAATTAAACGACATGAAATAACTTTTACTCTTTAGGCAAAAACTTATTACTTTAACATATTCATAAAACCAGCATAACATTTTATAACCACTTATCTCTACAAGGCAGCTATTTTTTACTTAATGACTCAGTGCAGGAGGTGGGAAACAAAAGGATCCTAACTAAATTAACATCTCTGTTGGATAATGTCTGCCACCCCATGCATGAAGCTGGTGCTGAACTGGTGGGAAACAAAAGGGTCCTAACTAAATTAACATCTCTGTTGGATGTTTCCCACCCAATGCATTCAGCTGAACTGAAGAGCTCCTTCACTAACAGACTGCTGCACCCTAAATGGACCAGGGAGCGTTATCACAGATCCTTCCTAACTCTGCCACTTATTCTGTTATTTTTATACTTTGTAAGGTACACACACTCACACCTAAGGAGAATTAGGCGAAGCCAATTAACCTAAATGTCATGTTATTGGATTGTGGGAGGAAGCCGGAGTACCCGGAGAGAACCCACGCATACTCAGGGAGAACATGCAAACTCCATTTACTTAAACAGATGAAAAAAAACAGTAATTCACCTCAATGTCATCAATCTCCTTCACCGTCATGAAATCTGAGAATCAAAAATAGCTCCATCATTCAGTCGGTCCAACTCATTCTAAAGGTGTGTTTTCTTTAGCAGACAGTAGTTTTTGTTACCAGGGATGTTGAACCACGGGGCCACGGTGGGAAATATATACGGGGGAGACGGCATTGTGACCCAAAATGGTGGAACAGTACCAGAAGGAACCCCACAGTTGGCTGTTGGGATCCTCGCACCAGCAACAGCATCAGCTACATCAGGAAGAGCCTGGGAAGGCAGTCTGGGTGCTGCAGAAATAAGAGCAAGTTCATTACAAGCACAATATTGTAGAAAATTGGTTTTATTTATATGTTGCTTCAGGAAAGTCAGTGAAAACAGAGAATGAGAGCGAGTCTGTGGCGTGAAGGTGGAGGAACTGATCTACCTTTGGTCAACAATCTGGAAAAAAACAGTAATAATTACACATTTCAGGAAAACAGGTCTATAGAAAATATTGATAATGAGTTAAATTACAGTAAGACAAAATCTAGTTTAGTGTTGTCTGAGGATGAACTGTATATTTATTACAGTGGATCCCAAACTTTTATGTTGGGTCTCCTTTGATTTACAAGAGTTTTTGTGAAAGGTCAAGCAGAACATTACCATGATGACTAAATTAAACTACACGAATGAACTTTTACTCTAGGAAAAATATTTATTACTTACTTTTGGATGTGCCTTGTTTAACATTTTCAT